TTTTATTTATAATTATTGTTCGATTTAAGTAAATATATATTATTTTGTGATACTTATCCAGTTTGTATCAAACTTTCTTTCGATTCTTCTTCAATATTAAAAAAAGTTTAGATCGAATATTCACAAAATATTTTATTGATATTTATTCTTATCTGTTTCTGTTTTAAAAGTGCATTTATATATCCATAATAAGTCATTTAGCCATTCATCAAATCATCTATACACTAACCAAAATATTGTCTTGACTTTAGGCAATGTCTCTAACAGTATTATCAAAATGTGAAGATAAAGAACCTTCAATAGAGCAGGTTGTCGTATAAGACAGAGTAAAGGTATTTGACCACATAATTGGTCGTCTTAAAGGCGAATAACATCAGCCTATCCTACTATGAAATAAACATAATCGCAGAATTAATACGTTTTGTATTTTAAATAAGAATACAATAATATATCAAAATTACCACTCCATAAATAAATAATTGCTTTTAAAATTATATTTTTACCTAAAATACTTTGGCGTTATAGTTTAAATAGTGGAATTTTTAGTGACACATTTAAAGTAGGTATAACCACAATTTTACAACTGAAATATATTCTACTGTGACACGACTTAAACTGTGGGAGCTAAATGCGTCCTAAGTTAAGCCAAGCTAGGACAGTGTTTGCCCAGCGCGCTATTACAACGCAGCGTGCCATTAGTTAATGGACGCGTCGACGGGTTAATGGTAGCAAAGGGCGGCACTTTGTATGGGTACCTTTCTCGTTCGATCGCACCCGGAGAATAATACGCTATCAATTTCCACTTAAAATTCAGGCTAAAAATTATCATTTGCCCTTTACCGTGCCGTACCGCCTGATACGATAGATAGATAAGGGCCATTACTAATGTATATATATATATATATATATATATATATATATATATATATATATATATATATATATATATATATTAGTAATGGCCCTATTATCTCATCAAATCGACCTTCATGTAACCCCCTGTCCCGAAACCATCGTATCGTAATTAAACCCTAGTGAGTTCGTCACGATGGCGATAAAATAACTGGACTGACTTCAACTTACTATTACATTTTCAATCCATTTAAAAACAGATACTAAATTAATTTCCATTTAAAAAAAGATTTATAAAATTGGAGTAAGCAATGAACACTAAATTATTACTTTACAAAGGGGTAAAATAATACTGCGTATCCCGTTACGCTGTTTCCATGGAATAACATCCTTTTAAATCTGAGTAGTTCGTATATTAACTAAGCTTTTATGGTAACTAGCTGAGGTAAAAATTGCTGGCTTTGTCTGCATAAATTAGGATCAACAGCTACATGTGTTAACTTAACTAAATTTGTGTACCATACTTTTTCTAAATCTATTCAACTATTTATACATGATTAAGTAACAAAAATTCAAAGACCTTTTTTAATTTTCACAATTATCACAATATATGTATATAAGATTATCATAACTGGCCAGTTATTTAAAATACGATTTATAAATGCTATAAAAAAGTCAATTCCATTTTCAAATCGAACCCATATTTCGAAGTTAAAGAACAATCCATTTAAATTTAACGAATTTGTATTAATATGAAGACACGATTTTCATGCTATTTGTACCTACGTAGGTGGTTACTATTTATTATTCCAATCCCGTTTTGGGTTCGAGTAAGGATACAATCCAAAATATTGTGTCAAACTCATACCACCCACAATTCTTTGGGTCATATTAACGACCTCCCTTATATTTTATGAGACATGCTCTATAAAATTCGATTTATTACATTCTTGTAAAGTATTATATTTTATGTTTAGTAATATTGTAACCACTCCAAATTTTATTTAGGTGCCCACATAAGTACTACTATCATTATAGCTTTATTCTATTATTATACAATATTATAAATGCGGAAATATGTAAAGATGAATGGATGAATGAATGTTTGTTACTCTTTTACGGAAAAACTATTAAAAGTATTTGAATGAAATTTGGTACACGAGTAGGTTATATGGCAAGTACATAAAATACTTTATGTATTGATCACGCGTGTAACACCATGAGATATCTAGTCGTAAATAAAATAAATTTTAAAGTTATTTTGATACAGCGAATAATATGCGCCCCCGATAGAAAGTGGTGAACGCAGCGTTAAATAAATATAAAGTGCAAAATGGATATAGCAAAATGGAGTGGGGCACCGAAGCACACGTCTCAAGTTCCGCAATTCCCGTGGGTGGACTAAGGCGTCGTCATGTCCTAAAATTTCACTAGTATATCCATCCTTTAAACAGATTCTGATATACATCCATTAAATATGCGCAAACCACAAAAGTTTAGTAGAAATAATTATAATAAGACAAATATACGAGAAATTAACCTATTAATATTGTTAATTGTATAATAATTGTAAATTAAATGTTTGTAAGGATGAATGGATGGATATTTGTTACTCTTTCACACAAACACTACTAAATGAATTTAAATAAACTTTAGTACACATATAGTTTATATCCTAACTTAGCATATAGGATACTTTATATACTAATACACACGAACAAAGCCGCGGGATACAGCTAGTAAGCAATAATCTAATCGGTAGATGTTGGCAACTCAAGATTATTCTTTATGGCAATATAATCTGTTATCATCATGCTAGTAATTATTTAAAGCTATCTTTTTTAAATCAAATATGTCTTTCCCCCTCCCCCTTATTCATAAAAACGTCGAAGCTCTCATAGACCTATATTAGGTATTCGACTGTTTTGTATCTTCTTTTGAGTTTTATATTCTCGATTAGAAAGAAAGTAACAAAATAGTGTAATAATAGTGTTAAAATAGATTTGTAAAATGTTTTAGTTTTTATGAATAAAGAAGTTTTCTGTCACTGAACAAAAGCCAGACCGTTACAAGGAACGACTGCATTCGTTGACTATCTGCAAAATGTTCGTATACCTTAGTCTTTTTCTTAATCACTACACCCTTGGTAGAACAATCGTTGTCATTACTGAGAGACTTATACCAATGTATTTAGAAATCTTCATTGTTTCCACCAACTTCAAAAAGAAAGAGGTACTCAAATCAGTTCATAATTATCGTCATATCATCATTTAACTGTCCACTATTGAACATAAACCTCCCTCTTGTGTGTTTTGCCAGTAGTTACCACACTTGGCAGGCAGATTGGCAACCGCAGGTTGTAAAGATATTTTAAGAGAAACGCTGCCGCCCATCCTTCGCCCTTCCTCATTCGCCTCTTACGATACCCACGAGAAAGAAAGGGGCAGCCTATTCTACGCCAGGACCACGCGGATTTGTTTTCAGTTTCAATTCAGTTATATTTCCCGAAATCCTCCGAAATACACTTGAAAAGGAAAGTTAATATATAAACGACTCCCGAAATCTACGCAGTCACTACAATAGAAACGAACTGCAAATATAAACAGGCATATATCTCCATCAGTAGGATATGTAAATAGGCGTATCTACATCTGAGCTTATAATCTTAACTTATTCAGAAACAAACAACAGCCCTTTATAATTAAATTAAACACCAGAAATGTATGAAACAACGAGAAACTATTCAAATGAACTCGTTTCACAACTCATAAACTAATCCCCGTTCTGAACTCGGCACACATAACAAACTACCAAAACATTAAGTATTACTACATGTGACTGTGACACAGAATATTAATTTTGATAGCCATATAAATAGTAACCCTTAATAAAATACTCTTGGAGATATTATTCAGCGTCCCTAGTTCCATACAAAGTACAGCTTCTACTATGGGTACTAGATATGTGATACAAATACTTAATTTTTTTTTAATAATTAATTATATTAATTATTAAAAAATTCATCATTATCTTCCTACCCTTATCCCAATTATTATTTAGGCTCGGCATAATATATTTTTTTTTTATCCATATTACAAAAAGATTTGGCTTATAGTTTTACGACCGGTCGCCTGCCCGACGTCAACCCTCTTTGGAAATATAATTACATACGTATTATACATAGAAAGCACCCATGTAAACATACTTTTTGCAAGAATTGAACTCGCGACCATTGCAAAAAAGATGGTGTGTTAAATTACCAAGGTCGTCAATATATAAATATAACAAATCATAATTATAATTATTTTCAATAACTTATTATTATATGTATTAGCCGATATCTAGTCATACTAATTTTAATTCTAAGTTTAATTTTTAATTTTATTAAAATATTAAAATTAAGGACTTCTCGTGTAATTTTATGGCTTTAAACATTAGAACAAATATTTTACTACCGAAGTTACCGAAGAACAGTAATTTTAGATTACCAAGCTCAGTACAAAATTGTGTATATAAATACTTATTCTAAATCGAAATTTATCTCAGATAAGTAAGTATATATTGCTGGTTTAATAGAACCTTTATAACTGTAAAAAACATTACGTAAACAACATTAGTCCCACTATAAACTGTAAGGTAGTGTCGCAATAAAGTATCTAAGATAGTGTTTACGACGCGTGACACATTGACTTGCGTACGCCAACTCACCTACCAACTAAAATGTAATGTGGATGAGTATATTACAAAATTGATTGTAGGTACATTTCTTTAAAAATAATACCTACATTACGTGAATTATTTTACATGTTGAAAACCAGACCAGTGATATCAATTCACCATTTTTTTTATTTTTATATCGTCTTTATTTTTATAACTAAGTCTAAAAGTGACGAAGATGCCATTTCTTCAACAAAAACAACACGCGGAATCATCAAACTTTTCTAAATTTTCAGACTATAGCTTCACAGGTTGTAATTTAAATAATTAGCATCCCTTCAAAAGGAATGCTTACCAATGAAGCTAAATATATTTTTCCCAAAGAAATATAACTCGAAACGATAAAAATATTTTGAACCTTCCATTCCGATATGTTAGGTCAGTATAAAAGATCTTATGTTCATTTTTGACCTGGCAGTTTCGATAACCTACTACGGTGTGACACGGGTAAACCGTTTTGAATATGAGAAAGAATCTAATTGACTTTTACGTAGCACATGAATTTCTGCCAAATGTAAGTCTTCCGCGGTAAGTGTGCTACGTATTGTATTGCGTTGTCGATCGACGTTTGAGTTGGATGGCGGACGAAAAGAAAAAATGCGGCCTTCTACTTTATGAATGAGTTCTATATTCAGGCCTTTTTTTCTTAATGAAGTAAGACGTAACAATGATAAGTAACGATGAGCATATGCTGTGGCACGAATTAAACGATTCCACGAACTAAAACGTTGTGCGTCTGCTGAAATTGGCTTATTCGACTCAATTTCGTTAATGAGATGTATGTGAGTCTCGGGTGTATTAGTATGGATGGTTTGATTATGGGAAATAGCAGGTTCCTTAGGCCAATCAGAAGTTAGAAGAAATTCAGGTCCTTTTATCCAGCGTGAGTCTGAAGTTAAAGGGCCTCGGCTTAAACGTGTTGAATCATCGGCAACATTATAAGCGGTTGGAACCCAGTGCCACTCACTAACATCTGAAAGTTCTATTATCTCACCTACTCTATGAGCTACAAATGTCTTGTATGATCGTGCATCATTACGAAGCCAACCCAAAACGTTCATCGAATCGCACAAAAATGTGCGCTTAAGTGGTTTAAATTTGACTGCTTCTACGATGGTTGTAGCTAGACGTGCGGCTATTAATGCAGCTTGCAACTCTAATCTAGGAATACTAGATGGTTTTAAAGGCGCTACACGTGACTTGCTACAGATCAATGCAAGTTGTACGTCTCCATTAGGATAAACGAAGCGCCAATATGCCACCGCTGCGTAAGCCTGAGCGCTGGCATCGGCAAAGACGTGCAACTCTATTTGATTTGGTTTCAACCTATGAAAGTTATAACAGCGCGGTATTTTTATCTCGGCGGTAATAATTAAATCTTGAAACCATTCCTTCCAGGCTATGGCTTCAGAAGGAGGGAGCTCCGTGTCCCAATCCAAATTCATACGCCAAACGTTTTGAAATACGACCGCGAATAACAACTGGAGCGAGGATTCCTAATGGATCGAAGACTCGCATAATTAAAGACAATATAATACGTTTAGTAAGCGAACTAGGCAAAGTTTCTTGATTACTTTTAATAGAAGTGTTAAAGCCTATAAGGTCGCTAGATGGGTGCCAGTATAATCCTAGAGCGCGGATGCATGGTGTAGACGACGGAAAATTCGCTAAGTTTAGGTTAATATTAGATACCGATTCTGATAAAAGATGATTTGGCAACAGACGGAGCGCTTTAGGGTCATTGGATACCCATCCACGCATCTCTAAGCCTGCGCGCGCATGAATGTTGACAATATCTGCCGCCAACTGAGCTGCTTCATCACTACTAGAATCTACTGAACCGATATAATCATCCATGTAAGTATCGTATATAATACCATGAACCGCGTCGGGATATTGATCTTTAAACTCTAGAGCATTTTTATTTTTCATATACATAGCTGTAAAGGGGCTAGAAACTGCTCCGAAGATCATTGATGACATTCTATAGGTTTCTATAGGATCAGTAGGGCTGTCGCGCCAGAGAAATCTTTGAGCATCTCTATCCTGTTCGATAATTTTGAACCTAGGGAACATTTCCTTAATGTCTGCAGTCATAGCTACTTTACCCTCTCTAAAACGAAGTAAAATGTCGATTAAAGATTGCAATAAATCTGGACCCGTAAGTAGAAGTGAATTTAAGCTAACACCTTTGATTTTTGCGGCAGCATCGTGTACTACTCGTAGTTTTGCCGGTTTATTGGGGTTTATTATGCCAAAATGAGGTAAAAACCAACATACAGAATTAGAAGAAGGTTCATTTTGACATTTCTCAGCATAATCTTTAGTAACGAGATCGCGAATATTTTGTTTATAACGCTCAGCATAAGTAGGATCACTGATCATTTTCTTTTCAAGACTTAAAAAACGCGATAAAGCAAGAGGATAGCTGTTAGGAATGACAGGATTATTAGATTTCCATAATAAACCGACTTCGAATCTACCGCACGGAAGACGATTAGCTGTACGTTCTAAAATTTCAATAGCGCGTTCATCATCTGCACTACGCGGTTCTTTCTTAGTAATTCCTATCGAATCCAACTTGTAATAATTTTTTATAAGATTTTCCAATAAATCTGTCTTGTTAAAATCTGTTTCATTACACTGAACATGATTCACTAAATCAACTGGACTAGTTTTACTACTACTAAAACCGAATAAAACCCAACCAAGAGCAGTGTTAATTGCAGCTGGTTGCGTTCTCGTACCTTTCCGTATGGATTGCGGTATGGTAAGATGCCAGTTATCGATACCGATCACAATTTTTGGTTGTGCATTCTCATAACATAAATAGGAAGCCAAATCGGAAAGGTAAGAAAATTTACTAATATCTTGGGGACAGACAGACTGTTTAGCTAATTGTAAATCTTTTATAGAACGAGCCTGCTTGACTTGATACGTCTTATCAACATGACAACCTCTAATATTAAAATCTACATACTCTATTTCTGTATGTTTTGATAACCCGCCGACACATTTTAAAAGAGTTTTGACAGTAGGTCCTCGGGCTCCAATTTTTGCAGCGAGCTCCGAGTCTATAAAAGTAGCGGTTGACCCATCATCTAACAAAGCGTAAGTATTCACACTACCACGTGGGCCAGAGATTTCAACAGCTATAATTTTTAAGAAAGGTCGATAACATGGATGTTGAACATTGCATAATGGAAGTGAGTTACTAGCATGAGCTATAAAATCAGTCGTTTGTTTGCATGATGATTCATCAGAACCTTCAAGTTCTCCAGATTGAGGAGTGGAAGATGATTCACCATGTTCAACCTCACTTTCAACCACATGAGCAATATGTAATAGTTTATGGTGTCTAGAATTGCATTTTTTATTGTTGCAGATTTCCTTAGAAATATTACAACTTTTATAATTATGTGAACCTTTTCTAAGACACTTATGACAAAGTTTTTTCTCATTAACAAATTTCCATCTGTCATCAACTGACAATATCTTAAAATTATTACAATGAGATAAGCTATGATCGTCATTACAAAAATAGCATATCTTTTTATTGTGAGATGTTACACTAGATGATTGTTCATGAGTTTCAGATTGAAAAATGTATGGAACAATGGACGTGGATGGTTTGTTAATTGCAACCGAACGAATTTTGTTGCTTCGATTATAATAAATAGGTTCATTGAGGAGACCAAACTTGAGCTGTAGATCCACCTCTTGAGTGAGGAAGGAGGCTAAGAGCTCGAGTTTAGTTACCTCTTGATGGAAATGAGACGCTGCAAAGTCAGCCCAACGTGTCCGTAATAGAGGTGTGAGTTTACTAAGAATAGATTGAAAAAGTTCTGGCGATTCTAAATAACATCGTTGTTCTAAAAGTTTCATTACTTCTACTGAATTACGAACTCGACAAGCGAACTTATGAAGGTCACTACAATCGATGTTGACCTTTGGCAGGGAACGCATCATTGCCACTTCTTGTAAAACAATTAGTTCAGGCCTACCAAACCTTGTTGCTAATGCTTGTATTACCTGAGTAGGGTCTTGAGCGGAGACTAACAGTACTGCTACAGCATCATGTGCCTCTCCCCGCAGCGCCATATTGATACGCGTTAGGTTGTCCGAGTCAGAATATCTTGATTTCGTGTTGTCATATACACGTTTGAAGGTTAACCAATCTAAAGGCTTGCCATCAAAAAAAGGTAGACGACCATCTCCAAATTTTACGTTGTGTTGACTTTCTTTTGAAAGTGATGTAATTGCTTCTGCTAACAAAGCTATATCACTTGGGGTTTTATTAATAGTGGAGGAAACCGGTTTGATTTTAGTCGCACTAGAACTGGCCCTCGCCGGGCTTGTGCAAACATCGAAATTATTAGCCACATTAGATTCTTTTAGGATAGGCCGAAGATATTGAGTATCTGTGGTAGTCACAGGGTTAAAGCTATTGTTCGGTATTTGTAAATGTGCCGCTAATGCCGCAGAACAATTGCTATTAGTAGTGGGTTTACTACAGGACGTATTAATTTTAATGTTCTGCGGTTGCTCATTTACTTCCACTGAGGGTATAGCCTCTAGACATGTGTCTAACCATTTTCGTACCTCTCTGTTAGAGATGTGACTTGAACGACTACTACGAGTACGTATACTACCTCTCTCCTCCAAGGCGGCGATACGTGCTTGTTTTTGTAGTACTAAAGCGGCGCGCTCTTGTTCCAATACCACACGCTCGCGCTCTTTGGCACGCTCCAATGCAGCGCGCTCCAGCATCGCAATTTTTTTAGCATAATCCGCTTCTATTTGTAAGGTACGACTCCTTACAGTAGTTGAAGACCCTGAAACAGAACTAGCGGCGCCGCTGGGAATTCCAACGGACTGCTGAGCGCCAGCAGTTGGTGTGGAGCTGGTAGGGCTTCCGTGTTGAACGGTAGAAAATTGGCCTTGCTCCATACTTGCTGCGTTCGCTTTTTTAACTGATCGCGTCTCTACCACCATGGTTTTATTATTAGCGAGAGGACCAATATTTTAACGAGAGATATGCTCTTGAGAAAGGACTGTATATTTTATGAAATAATAAAACGGTCGCTGCTAGTGGTAGAGAAAAAATATAATAATCAAATCGTGACATTGTCAGATATCAAAAAACAAAATAAAAATATAAAATTTAAAAATATTCTCTAAAAAGGTGCGTTCTGCACAACCTCAACAATCTGAGCAACAAAAACTGATATACTGGCATTTAAGATAGAGGAGGACTTGACTCCTTTTCATTCTGGACAATCAGCATAACCCAGTCACACGCGTTCATATTTCTAAATATGTATCCAAAAAAAGGGTACAAACGGGTTGAAAAAAAATCTTTCTCTAGCGCTGGATTTTAATATGGATTCACAAGCAAAACCAATCAATCACTGAACCGAGTTATGTTCTTGTGTGATTAATTGGCAACAAAAGGCGGGAAGAATTCTGGTTATTTCGGAAGGAAATTGCGGCCGAGACCGAGTAAGTAGGTACATTGTGTTTGCATACAACGCTTGCTATTTTCCGTAAAAATAAGTTCCCAACAGTGCTTTGTCACTGTCCAAATAAATTCACAGAGCGATGTGATAAAGGGAAGTAATAAATCAATGACCTTTAAAAAATAATAAGAAACCGAAATAAATCTATACGCACGTAATCATATAGATAAAAGGAGTCTGTAGATGGATTTATTTCATGATACTTCTTGATGTTTCTAATATGTACGGAAACTTCATAGGCAATATTTATTTGTTTTTAATTTTTATTAGTCTGCTTCTTTGTAGCGTCACGTATAAAACCATTGAAACATTTTGAAAAAGCTACATATCGCTATCTACAATTAATTAGATAACAACAGAATCAAAACTAGATTCAAACAGAAATATAGAAACTTTAGGTAAAAATCTTTATTCAAAGTGTAACCCAATTATTCACAAAGAAATAAACAGATTTAAATGAAGTTTCGCATACAATTTTGTTTACCTTAAAGTTCACGATGTTTTTATTTATATTAACTTTTGCTCGCGATTGCGTATTCGTGGATTTTGGAAATATATAATTTAAATAAAAAAAAAATATTAAAATTTAGTGTAGGTTACACCAGATTTTAATTCAACATGTAGAAACACAACTGTGAACTGTATCGAATTGTGAATTTGGTACTGTAGTATTAGTATAATGCCGGAATAAGGTACAGACAAACAAAAATTGTAAAAAAAATTGTTTCAGTTTCTGTTGCTCTTATAATGTTGACTTAGAATTCTTAAGACTAAGAATATATTTTTTTAATATTTTATCTACAGATATCGTCGATTTATAAGTTTATATTATAGATATAAATGCATGCGAGCATTCACAAGAAATTAATAGTAAACACTCATCTTAATAAAGTTTGTTCCAAGAAAGTTAACTTTTTCTTTACACGCCACATTAGTCTCACTCATTTTCGACGAAACCTAATTAGAACTTTGACAGTTGTTATACAGTTGTTCTAAGTAGGTATAATGAAATTTTTTAAGCGACAACCAAAAGAAAAAGTTTTTGTGTGTATTTTACACGAAATTTTCGTAATTTTAAACCGATTTTAATAATTAAATTTATTTTCAACATGATTCCGTGGTTTAAATTAAATATTTGTAACCTAATATATATTTTATTCTATTATTTTTTTGTACATGCATTCTTTTATGTCTTTTTACTGTGTATGTCTATTGTTATTTGTCTGCTGTAAGTAATACAAATAAATTATCTATCTATCTATCTACACTACGAAAAATCTCATAGTTCATTTTTTTTGTCATGACTAAAGACGCCGTAATTGTTTTTTTCTGAGTAAAATGTACCCTATGTAGGTATTTAACGTTCATGTACACTGAAACAATAATTTAACTTCACGAAAATAAGAGTCAGATTCGATTTTCAAGTATTAACCTATTATTTAAATTTATTAGGATGTAACCAACCCGTATAACAAAATTAATTTAATAGTGTCGATTTTGAGACAATATTCTCGGAACCCATCTTTATAATTATAATTTCAATTTGATATCACAGTAAAATTATTATTCTGAGGACTAATATGAACTAAATTTAAAATAAATTTAAGTAAAAATTATTATAAACTTAGTTTGTGATGGCAAAATTATGAAATTGAAAAATTGATTTTAGAAATAGATTTAGAAAATGGTACCTCAAATCAATTCAAATGATTGTGTTATTGAGTATATCAAAATCCAAACATATATATACATACTACTAATACATATACAAATGCATCTATGTGAAATATTAATCTGCTGAAAAATTAATCTCTCTCTCTCATCACGTTACGTAAATTTAAGATTAAACAAAATTAACTTTCCTACATCATCCAACCAGATTTAGATGGACGTATGTAATTTAATAAGCGAGGCAAGCCACCCTAAATGACATAAACATATTATGTAAATTTACGTAAGGCACGACATCTGCAATTCAGTTCCGCCGCGAAATATAAACGCTGCAAAATAAACAGGCCCTTTCAAATTGGCCTAACTTTGTTAAGGTTGCATATTTTACCCAAGTAGACTGTCGTATGTGTAGTAATAAACAGTAAATTATTATAATGTACCTTTATGAAAAAAATACTTGTCTATTTCCTATTGTTTTACGATTTATTTTCTGTAAGGAAAAGAAATATGAATAAAGGAATGTTTACCTATGTGGTATAGTGATAAAAACGGTTGACTATAGAAATTTGACTCGCCCTACTATTTTATTTTAGTCTGATAGGCGCTCTAAAATAATAAGGTGAGTAGGTACTCACCTTATTATATTACATATATATGTATCATATCCGCCCTATCGGTATACACAGGCGGGGCACCAGTGAAGGACGATAGGTGAGGATGAAACAGGTCAGTTAGCCCATCGTGATGACTTCAACAAGAATTGTTCACGATGGCTTCCAGGGGGAACCACGTGGAGGTCGACCTAATAAGGCATATTGCCAGCAATGGAGCTATCAAACCCCATTGCTAATAATCCCTTTCCCCCCTGTGTCACAGTATTACATGATAGTTCTTTAGACTAGTGTATTATTATCATAAAACTATGAGTAATTATAATCGTAAAAGTGAGCTTGTCTATTAGCTTTAACGGTCCAATCATCATGGATAATATATAGTATAAGTACTCTTTTTCCATACCAACTAGGTACGATGGTATGGAAAAACAGATGAACTACTTTCTATCGCGATCAACCTATATGTTCCTGGTGGTAGACACTCAAATGCAGTCAAGGGCTCAATTAGTTATAAATATTTAAAGAATGTCACATATAATACACAGTTCTGTCGTAATTAATAGAAATTGTGACTTTGACCAAAGCTTATTTTTAGAAATTCCAGAATTCTAATTCAGTTTACCTTGCCTATTTTTATTCTTTGAGAGTAACACTAAGAATAACTCTGACAATTTAATATCCAAATGGTCTTCGATTATGTAATGTTATACAATACCCAATTCGTTGACTTTGTATTCGGCTGCTATATAACCCCCTTGATTCTACTCAAAATCTACTATCAGCGGAAATGAGGCGCCGGTGCCGATCTTCAAGTTCTATAATTGGCTCTTCCCAATAGATATAAGTTTCTAACAAACAATCGGGAAGAATTGTTTCCAACATTGCCCACTCAATATAAGCCTTAATGAAATAATATATGTTTTTTATAAATTCCTCCTTTGAAATTACAGCTTTACACATTAAATATATTTTGCTTCGGCAATAAAAAATATATAACATATAGCTACTATTTATTTGTAAATGGGTCGCGTTAAATTACGAAAATAAATTTAAATATTTAACCTGTTCAGATTAAACGCGCCTATTAATTATTTTCGTATCTTTTTTTTATATTTAAAGTAGTTACAGAAAAAACGCAGAATGTAAGAGGAATAAAAGCGATCACGGCTTACAACTGAAGAACGTCGAGGAAGAAATCTGCATGAATAGAAACGCGTGGACGGTAACATGTCGACAAAGCATATTCGAGGGCCAATATTTGTTCAGCCCTGTAACGAGTAAAGGTTAAGAGCCATCTAACCTTGCTTAAGGGCATTAAATTTACAATTCTCCTGTATATTCGCTACAGAACATACGAGTAAGTAGGGATATTTAGTTTATGACAATGTCAATACTCAACATAAATATTTCAACAATCCCTAAATTTAGATCTATGCTAAAATATATATTTTTAATAACACTATAATTAGAAAGAGAATCATACTCAATAATATTATTTAGCAAGTATTTAGGCAGATACGAGTATTTAGATGTTACCTATACCACAGTTCTTTGTACTATGATATTACTTTGAAATTCCAAGAAAATCGCTTTTCTTGATTGAAGAAATCTTTTTACCCATGTAGGATTATTTATTCTTACGATAAAACTCACAATAGGCAGCCGAAATTACTCAATGTATATCTTGTATACGAGTATAAACATATTATTGTCTATTATTCCGTCCGAGGGATCACGTAATCCCTCTTGCATGACAAAACAAGTAGGAAAATGCCTGACCACAATGTTACTATTTCAGTAGACTCAATGATACTAAATTACAATGACTTAACTCATTCAAGAATCAAGAGAATAGTATCTTCTGTAATTTGTCAAAAAGGAAGGTTTGTTAGTAATGAATACCAATAGTCCCATTGCTAGCAATATTCAGGTTGACTCGTTCGTGTTTTATTAATAATAAATTCGTCATAATGGACCTACTTATCTGCTTTCATCTCCATCCACCATCTCTCACCCTCAAGGGGTAGAAATTAATACATAATCCAGCATCATATAACGGCGACCATGTTGAAAATATAACAATATTGAGTATAACATAACATATTGTCACCTGAACTTAAGGTGTAAGAACTAAAATTCAAACTCAATCCAATATCCAATAATACGAGTAGTTTTAATCCAACTAACATAA